GGCACATGGCCTACAGACACATGAAAAAATGCTCATCATCTTGAATCATCAGAGAAATGCTAATCAAAAGCACTTTGAGATATCATCTAACTCTAATAAGAATAGCGCACATCACAAAATCCCCAAACTACAGATGTTGGCATGGATGTGGAGAAAAGAGAACACTTCTGCACTGCTGGTGGCAATGCAAGTTAATACGTCCCTTTTGGGAAGACGTTTGGAGAAGACTTAAGGAACTAAATTGGACCTGCCATTTGATCCTGCAATTCCTCTATTAAGTATATATCCAAGAGACCAAACATCACTTTACAACAAAGATATTTGCACCAGAGTGTTTACTGCATCCTATTTCATTTTTGCCAAATCATGGAAGAAGCCCAAGTGCCCATTGACTCATGAATGGATTAATATATTGTAGTATATGTATACCATGGAAAGTTATGCAGCCATAAAAAAGATGGAGACTTTACCTCTTTTACATGGATGGATCTAGAACATATTCTTCTTAGTAAAATATCTCAAGAATGGAAGAAAACATATCCAGTGTACTCCGTACCATTATGAAACCAATATATAATCACCTACACTTTCATGTGAAAGATAAAACACAACTATATCACAAGGTGAAGGATGAAACTAGAAGAGGATGCAAGGGGAGGTGAGAGGTGGGGTGGAGGGACAGTAATTTGTGGGACCTCACCTAAGATGCATATTGCAAATGCATATGTCAGGTCTTTTAAGCATAGAGTAAAAATGTCTTAACACAATAATTAAGTGAGGTGACAGCTATGTTAATCAGTTTGATGTAAGCATTCTAAATTGTATATAAAATTAGCACATTGTACCCCATAAATGAATTAATGTACAGAGTTATGATTTTTTTTAATTAAGAGGAAAAGAAAAGAAGGGCCAAAAATTGCCAATGTGAAGAAAAGAATATCAAATAAGATATATTATTTTATTTCATTTCATTTTTTTTAAGTAAGGAAAGGACTTTCACAAAATATCATGTATAGAATGCTACCACACTTATGAATTATCTCAATAAATGTCAATGGTTTGAATTCCCCAATGAGCATAGACTGGCTGATTGAATAAGAAAACATAAGGCATCCATTTTGTGTCTGCTGGAAATACAACTAGCCTCAAAGGACAAATGAAAACTCAAGGTTAAGGGATGGAAGTCAATTTTTCAGGCAGACAGAATTCAGAAGCAATGAGGAGTTACAATCTTATTTTCAAATACAAGTGGATTTAAGGCAACTAAAGTCAAAAAAGGCAATGATGGATACTTCATATTGGTCCAGGGAAAAATACAACAAGAATACATTTCAATATTAAATATTTTTGCACCCAACTTAAAAGCTCCCAGATTCCTAAAATAGATCTTAATTAGTCTGAAGAATATGATATTCAATAACACCATAATAGCAGGGGACTTTTATACTCCTCTTGCAGAGCTGGACAGATTCTCTAAACAGAAACTAAACAAATATACAAGGGACTTAAATGTGACCCCAGAAGAACTGTGCTTTATAGATGTATATAGAACAATCCATCCCAAAGCTAAATAATATATGTTCTTCTAATTATCCCATGTAACATTCTCCAAAATTGATCATATCCTAGGACACAAAACAAACCTCAACATAATCAAAAGAATTGAAATTTTACCTTGTATCTTCTCAGGCCACCAGGTAGAACTCAACTCCACCAAAAATGTTCAACCCCACACAGAGGCATGGAAATTAAAGTACCTTATGCTGACTGACAGTTGGGTTCAGGAAGGGGTAAAGGAGGAAAGCATCAACTTCCTTGAGCATAATAAAAATTAAGACACAAGCTAACAAAACCTGTGGGATACAGCAAAACTAGTCGTGACAGGGAAATTTATCACTTTAGATGCCTACATCTGAAAAACAGAGAAAGCACATCAACAAACTGAAAACCATCTTATGGAATTGGAAATAGAAGAACAATCAAATTCTAAACACAGCAGAAGAAAATGTCAACTATATTAGGAGTAGAGTATTAATGTCTAAACACAGCAATTAAATAAGTGAGGTGAAGGCTACGTTAACTAGTTTGATGTAAACATTCCAAATTGTATATAAAAAAACACATTGCACTCCATAAATGCAGTAGTGTACACAGCTATGATCTAACAAAAAAATAGAAAAAAACAGTTAAATAGAGATTAATGAAATGGAAAACTAAAGAATTATTCAGAAAAGTAATGAGACAAAACATCGATTGTTTTGAAAAAAATGTATAAAATAGATAAACCTTTGGCCAAATCAACTAGACACAGAAAAATAAAATAGCTAGTAATCTCAATCAGAAAAGATAAAGAGGAAATAATAACAGATGCCACAGAGATATAAGAGATTATCTCTGAGTACTACAGGAAACTCTATGCCCAGAATCTTGACAATCTGAAGGAAATGGATCATATTCAGAATCTCACCCTTTCCCTAGACTTAACTAAGAAGAAATAGATATCCTGAATAGATTAATTTCAAGCACTGAGATCAAAGAATCAATAAAACAATCTCCCAATAAAAAAAAAATGGCCTGGTCCAGATGGCTTCAAACCAGAATTCTATCAAACATTCAAAGAAGAGCTTATACCCATACTGCAGAAATTATTCCAAAAAAGTTGAGGAGGAAGGAATCTTCTCCAACACGTTCTCTGAAGCACATGTCACCCTGATTCCAAAACCAGGAAAAGACTCAACCAAAAAGGAGAACTTCAGTCTAATTTCACTAATGAATACGGATGCAAAGATTCTGAATAAAATTGTAGCCAATAGACTACAGCTTCTCATTAAAAAAGTCGTTATCATGATCAAGTAGGTTTCAACCCAGGGATGCGAGGCTGATTTAACATATGCAAATCCATAAACATAATTCACTATATCAACAGAAGCAAAATCAAAGAGCACATCGTCTTCTCAATAGATGCAGAAGAAGCATTTAATAAAATTCAGCATCTTTTAAAAATTAAAACCCTGAAGAACATAGGCATAGATGGTACATTTCTTAAAATATTTTATTTTTATGTCACTGCTCTTTTATAAAGTAATTATATTACTTGAGAACTGGCATCATGCAATTTGAAGGAAGACTTTTGTTAGGTGTAAATGTATATAGCAAATGCAAGTGAGAACACTAAAAAATAAAAAGCAACCCACAAAGTATACTTGATATGATAACAGAGCAGAAAAAAATAAAAATAGACTGTATGATTCATTAAAACCAGAGTAGACAGAAAAATAAAAAAAGAACTAGGACAGTGAATAGACAATAGTAACAAATATGTTTAGTATCAACAACCACTTTAAACATCAATGATTGAAAGACACCAATTATAACATTGAGACTAACAGAGTGAAATAAATAAGATCCAAAATAGATGCTGTCTACAAGAAACTCAACTCAAACACAAGGACATGTATCTATTAGAAGTAACGAGATGGAGAAAGATAAACCTTGCCAACACTGATCAAAAGAAATCTGGGATACTTATATCATTTCCGGACAAAGCAGGTTTTAAGGAAAAAAATAATTGGGGATTAAGAAAAGCATTACATAATGATGAAAGGGTAAATTCTTCAAGAAGACATAAGAATTCTTGATGTGTATGTGCCTAACAAAAGTACAGAAATATAAGAAAGAAACACTGGTAGAATTTCAAGGAGAAATAATATATCCACAATTTTAGCTTGGTGTATCAATATCTCCAAAGTAATTCACAGATCAGAGAGGCAGAAAGTTATTATATTAGAGTAAGGACATAGTTGAACTAAATGATACTCTTAATCACTGAATCTAATTGATGTCTATAGAACTTTTCATCTAAGAACTGTAGAGTTCACATTCTTCTCAAGCTAACCCAAGACAAATCATGTTCTCAGTCATAAAGCACTCTAAAAAATTTAAAGGGCCAGGCATCATACAATCTGTGCTCTCAGACCCAAGTGGAATTAAACTAGTAATCAACTACATCAAGACAAATGAAAATACTCAAAATATTTGGAAACTAAACAGCACATTTCTAAATGACAAATGGATTAAAGATAGATTCTCAATGAATATTTAAAATATAAATAGAAATGAAACATAACTTATCAAATTTGTGGAGGAGTGTCTTTAGCAAAATTGCAGACTAGGAGGCTCTAAGCCTTCATTCACACTATAGAAAATAACTAGAATCTGACTAAAATAACTTTATATGAGTTCTGGTTTATAGCCATTAAGTGAACACAAAGTGAAAATACATTCAAAATAGTAGCTAATATAAAATTTTTATCACTCATACTCTTCCCTTGCTATCCCAGTGCAGTTGGAAGGAAGCAACTGCTCAATTGTTCGTTCCAAGAAAGGGAGCAGAGAACTTTTTGAAATGTTGTAACCTGCTTGGGGGATGCCTGAAGGACTGGTCTTTGTTTTGCTTAACTGAGAGCTCAGATGGGTAAAAGCAATATAGCTTGAATCTCATGCTGGAAAAAGTTACAGGAAATAGTAGGCACTGCTTATCAAAGTTACATGGGTAGTCTAGGCCTGTAGACACGTGAAGAAAATGTTTATATGTAAGGTAATGCAATAGAACAACACATAAGGACCTGAAGAGAAAGCTAGGATGAGATTACTTGGGATGTTAAGACATCTAAATGCACTCTTTTATGAGGGGGAATTGAAAATAAAAAGCAAACATACAGAGACTCAGGCAAGACCCATTTTCAGAAAAGACCTGGTTGGTAATTACATATAAATGGTTTAACATTCCCAAAAATACAAATAGGCAGCGTGGATTTAAATCATGATACAAATAAATGCAGCCTACAAGAGACTTACCTCAGATCTAAAGACACAGAAAGATTCAGAATGGAAGGTCAGAAAAAGCATACATACAGATTCAGGTAAAACCCATTGGCTCCATGCATATAGTAATGTAGCTACTGTATTTATCTGAAAGGAGTATATTGTGTTTCCTATAGGTGGTGAGGGCTGCACACTGGCAGCTGCATGCTCAGTGATTGGTGTGGGCTCTGATATTGGTGGCAGTATTCGGATGCCTGCTTTCTTCAATGGCATATTTGGTCACAAGCCTTCCACAGGTAATGTTAATATGGTGGGAAGGGTGGTTCATTGCAATGTGAAAATTTGGTCCCTGGAAGGACAATCTTGCTTATTGGCATAATTATTGTATTTTTCTCAATGTTTGTTTTTTTTTTTTTAAGGCACAGAAATTTTATTTAAACCTATTACAATAGAAGATAGAAATCAGTATGCAGATTGAACTCAACTTGCTGAAACAAAGGTTGGGAGGAGTTTAAAGTGTTGTAGGGAAAGGGAGACCAGAGGCCATCTCTGTTTGCTAACTGGCTTCACCCTAAGGAAAAAAGAAACTTTCTTTTATCTTTATGAAGGAAGATAGTTTTAATAATTGGAGCAAGGCTCAGGCAGGAGTTAGGCGCCTACCTCCTACAGAACTAGCAGTCCTCTTGTTACTGGAATTTTCAATGTTCTTAAATTTAAAAAGTAGCTATTATTTATTGGGTATCAACTGTGAAATTGGTGCCCCCAAAATGTGCAAAGTGACTTCTAAAATTAATTCTATTTAATCCACATAGTAACCCTTCAGGAAGATATCCCCATTTCACAAATGACAAATTCAAAGCTCAGAAAGATTAAGTAAACTTGCCTCAATTACGTAATTGGTAATTGTTCAAATTACGTAAATGGTAATTGTTCAAAACCACTTTGGTTAACAGAGGTTCTCCTCTATCCACTATACTAAACTGACTCATTTCTTAAATTCAATTTTCTCTTGCTTAGAAAGAAATAAAACAAAATTTCAAAAACATTGGAAAGTAAAAGGTAAAAAGAAAAAAATTGTCAACTAAAGACAGCTATACTAAGAAGAACATTTTCCAGCTCCATCCATGTGAACGTGAAGGATGTAAAGTCTCCATCTTTCTGAAACTAATTTATACCTTTTATATGAAAGCTATAACCTAATAACAGCCTAAGAATACAGGGAGGGAGGAGGGAGAGGGCAGGGGGGAATGGGTGGAGGGAGGGGGATTGGAGGGATCACTTCTGAGGTTTATCTTAAAGGGTACAAGTGAATCTTTCTAAGAGTAGAATGTGAACGTTTTAAAACAATAACTAAGAAAATGACATAAAGGTTATGTTAAAAAAAATAAAGACAGATATACTTAGCATTTATTGGCTTTTGGTATTGATTGTAATAAGGCATATACTCATTGTTGGCAATTTGGAAAATATTAAACATTAAGTTAATAAAATAACTCTTAATTCCAAGTACCCAAATTCAATCATAACTTCTATGCTATACCTATGTAATGTATTTTCTGTGGGTATGTTTTTGTGGCATTCATTTGCATGTTTTTATGCCTAATATGTGCTAGACATTGGGTTTCCATACATGTAAACACCCCTTAATCACAGGCATAGACACATAAAAAGGTCTTTTGTCTCTCACACTGCATACAAATATGCATAAAAACACACACTCATGTGTATACATACACATAAACACATGCAATGAAGCATTTTGTTTTGTATTAGAAATAGGGATCACACTGTACATACTGGTTTTAACTTATTTTCTACCCACTAGGCTCTATATCAGAATTTTCCTAGGTCCTTAAAATTAATGGAAATTACCAATTTTAGGGGGTTCATATTTATGATCTTGATTCCCCACACTTTAGCCTACTAATTCCCAGTAGGGGCTACTAGTTAAATATAAAAATTTTATAACATTAATGCTGCAGTTCTGTTGCATGTTTTTAACTATTATATATCTCATAATTTGAATGTGAGCATGAATTACTGGAAATGGAATGATGATTAAAAACTGAATATTTATTTATTAAATCATAACTGTGTACATTACTGCATTTTTTGGGTGCAATGTGCTTATTTAATATACAATTTAGAATGTTTACATAAAATTGGTTAACATAGCCTTCACCTCACATTCTTAATTGTGTTAAGACATTTATACTCTACTCTTAATAAATTTGATATTTACCTTTGCAATATGCACAATAGATGAGGTCAGACAGATTACTCTCCCTCCATCCAGCCACCAATCAGCCATCCAATTGACCTGTTCACCCCTCCTTCATTCTGGGCTATAGTTGTGTTTTATCATTTGCATGGAAGTGTGGGTGATTATGTACTGGTTTCATAATAGCCCTGAGCACACTGGATACATTTTCTTCCATTCTTGAGATACTTTACTAAGAAGAAGATGTTCCAGCTCTATCCAGGTAAATATAAAAGAGGTAAAATCTCCATCTTTTTGATGGCTGCATAATATTCCATGGTATATATGTACCACAATTTATTAATCCATTCATGGGTCAATGTGCACTTGGACTGGTTCCATAACTTGGCATTTACTAATTGGGCTGCAAAAAAAATTCTGGTATAAATATTTTTGATGTAAAATTATTTTTGGTCATCTGGATACATACCTAGTAGAAGAATTGCAGGATCGAAAGGCAGGTCTACTTTTTGTTCCCTAAGTGTTCTCCAAACGTCTTTCCAAATGGAACAAATTAGCTTGCATTCAACCAGCAGTGCAGAAGTGTTCCCTTCTCTCCACAAGTACATCAACATCTGTAGATTTGGAATTTTGTGATGTGGGCTATTCTTACTGGAGTTAGATGATATCTCAAAGTAGTTTTGATTTGCATTTCTCTGATGATTCAAGATGATGAGCATTTTTTCATGTGTTTTTAGGCTATCCACCTGTCTTCTACAGAGAAGCTTGTGGTCAAGTCTCTTGCCTACAATGGAATAGGATCACTTGTTCTTTTCTTATTCATTAGATTAAGTTCTCTGTGGATTCTGGTTATCAAACCTTTGTCAGAAACATAACCTGTAAATATCTCATCTCATTCTGAGGACTGTCTGCTTCCTTTAATTCATGTGTTCTTGGTAGTACAGAAGCTTTTTAGTTTGGTCAGATCCCAGTGATATATTTTTGGTGTTGCTTCAATTGCCAAGCAGGGGGTCCTCCTCATAAAATATTCTCCCAGGTCAATTTCTTCAAGTGTTTCCCCTGTACTCTTTAGTGTCCTTATGGTTTCATGTCTTAATTTTACATTTTTTATCTAGTGAGAATCAATTTTTGTTAATGGTGAGAGGATAGGGTCCAGTTTCAATCTTTTTCACATTGCCAGCCAATTCACCAAGCAAAATTTGTTAAATAGGAAATCTTTCCCCAATTTATATTTTTGATAGGCTTACCAAAAATCAAATGATGATAAGTGACTGGGTTCCTCTCTTGGTTCTCTATTCTGTTTCATATATCTACCTCTTTATTTTTGCACCAGTGGCATGCTGTTTTGATCCATATAGATTCATTGTATAGCCTGAAATCTGGTAACATGATTCCTCCTATTTGTTTTCATTCCTGAGTAATGTTTTAGCTATTCAAGGTTTTATCTGATTCCATATAAAATGAAGTACAATTTTTCCCAGATCTTTAAAGTGTGACAGTGCTGCTTTTATAAGGATTGCATTGAATTTGTATATTGCTTTGGGTAATATGGACATTTTAGCATGTTGATTCTTCTTAGCCATGAGCATGTATGATTTTCCATTTGTTAATGTCTTCAGCTATTTCTTTTCTCAGAGTTACATACTTTTTTTTTATAAAGTTCTTTCATGTTCTTTGTTAGGTAAATTCGCAAATATTTCGTCTTTCACTACTGTAAAAGAAATAGAGACCAGGATTATTTTTACAGCTTGAATATTGTTGGTATATGTAAAAGCTAATGATTTGTCAGTATTGATTATGTATCCTGAGATGATGCTGTACTTCAAGATCACTTCTGAGCGTTTTGTACTTGAGTCCCTGTGGTTTTCTAGGTTTTCATGTATCATCCACAAAAAGTGAGAGTTTGATCTCCTCTGACCCCTTTTGAATACTGTTGATTGCCTTCTCTTGCCTGATTTCAATGGCAGAGTCTTCCATTACTGTGTTGAATAGCAGTGGAGACATTGGGCATCCTTGTCTAGATCCAGATCTGAGTGGAAATGCTTGCAGTTTTACTCCATTCAGTATGATATTGGCTGTGGGTTTGTAGTAGACAGCCTCTGTTAGTTTAAGAAATCTCCCTTGTATATCTATTTTCTTAAGTGTTTTGATTATGAAAGGATGCTGGATATTATCAAAAGTTTTTTCTGCATCAATTGAGAGAATTGCCTGTTGTTTTTTATTTTGTTTATATGATATCTTATATTCATTGATTTATGTATGTTGAAAAAACCTTATAACTCTGGGATGAAACCCACTTGGTCATGCTGTATAATTTTTTTGATGTGCTGTTGATTTCTGTTTGCTAGAATCTCATTGAATATTGTTGAATCTATATTCATTAATGATAATGGTCTATAATTTTCTTACATTGTTGGATATTTTCCTGGTTTGGGAATCATGGTGATATTTGCTTCACAGAATTTGTTGGGAAGTATTCCCTTTTTCTCCATATTTTCGAAAAGCTTATGTAACATAGGTACTAGTTTCTGTTTAAAGGTTTGGTAGAATTCTGATGTGACGCTATCTGGATACAGGCTTTTCTTTTGGGGGAGACTTCTTATAGTTGATGCTATTTCAGTGTTTGATATAGGTCTATTCAACATTTCCAATTCTTTCTATCTGACTCTAGGAAGGTGGCATACTTACAAGTATTGGTCTATTTCCTCCAGATTTTCATATGTCTGAGAATAGAGTTTTTGGTACTATTTGAATTTCTGAGATGTCTGTTGTTATTTCTCCTTTATCATTTCTTTTTTGTATTTCTTTATTAAATCAAAAACACATAGATCATGCATACATTAATGCATTTATGGGGTACAATGTGCTGATTTCATATATAATTAAAAGTGTTTACATCACACTGGTTAATATATACCTCATCTAATTTACTTAGTTATTGTGTTAAGACATTTATGCTCTATACTTAATAGATCCAACATGTACCCTTGCATTATGCACCATTCACCCTCCCTCAATCTCACCTCCCATTCCCCTCCTTTTCCACCCTCTTCCCTCTTCATCTTGGGCCATAGT